ACTAAGTCATGCGAATAATCTTAACATTTGAAGCATCAAAATCGGAATTTTTTTTATTAATTCTTTGAATTTTTCAAAACTATTAATTGCAGATTGCCGACAACGATTGCAAGGGATTAATAGAATTATTTTTTTTGCACAATATTTCTATAGATTTCCACAGATATTTAGTTTGTCAATATTATTCTATATTTCCAAAAAAAATCTTGCATTTTCAAATAATAAACTATTGTATATTATTATGTTTTAAATTTGATTTTTGGTCAATGTTTATTTTAATAAAAATAATTTATTGTGATAAATTAAAGATGTTTCTTTATAATGATTGATAATGATTGAATATTGATAATGATTCTTTATAATGATTTATAATGAGTGAAAGCATAAATGCTTTAAGAAATATATAATCAGATTTGCATTCATACAGTATATAAAATAAATTGTATTTTCAATATTTATACATGCATATTATGATAATTTGATGATATAAATATCATGTACTCCCATGATTTTATTTGAAGGCTTTATTAGTCATATCGGAGTAGCACTTTGAGAAATCTATTTTTTATCGTCACAACAACCGAGTATCGATACCATATTTGCATGATAAAGCCGCCTATGAGGCAAGCAGAGACGAGATCGGACACCCACGCCTTTATACAGATGGCGACAAACATTCTGTACGACCAAATCAATGCAGAGATCCGATACCTCGTTTTATCGAACTACCAAGTCGCATGGATTCGCTACAAGACAAACTGTATTGATAAATCTTCAACGAAGAAATTATTATTATGTTCTTCAAATAATTTTCAATATTCGACAATTTCTTCGGCAGAATATTAGATTATTTTTTGAACGCTGTTGAAATACATGACATCAAAAAATGAAATCAAAAAATTTGCGATGTAAAATTTAAAAAATTACAATTCGTAATTTATGGTAATGTATGAAATTTAATTACTTCTTTTTTAAATTAATCTTATATAATATTAGATATTATCTAATTGGTTTAGAAAAAGCAAATTCTCACTGCCACAATGAAATGTCATGATTTTTATGTCATTTTTAGACTATTATTAATTTAGGATAATTTTCATTCAAAAATATTTCGGTCAGATGAATTAGTGAACTAATAAAATGCCGGACAATCTTAGTTTTAGGGTCGGAGACTTTTGACTTTTCTGAATGTGAAGTGTCTCATCCAAACGGAAGAAGGAATGATTTTAAAAGAACATAAATATTTTATCTCTTTTACTATATGTGCAAAGTATATTTCTATATATATACATCTTAGCCGAATACTGTTTTTTTTTCAAATCACTCAAAATTTTTTAAAATTTATCAAAACCTAATTGTTTTTTTTTTTTAAGTATCCCGAATTCTGGATGTGAAATTCAACACTTACAGGAGTTCTGAAAAACTTCATAAAAAAGTCTCCGTCTATCTTATTTTTCGTAGATTTACACTCACAGAGAAAAACATAGACAATTATAAAAGCTTTTTTAATCTTTTAACAACTATAAACTTTTTAAAAGTTTTAGAGTGAATTTCACTCTAAAGAGTAAAAACTTATTCTTAAAAAATAAAAAATTGAACCACACTTTTTCAAAACTGACTTAATTTTCACTCTTTAGAATGAGATTTTACTCCAAAGAGTTTAAAGAGTACAGGTGACAACTCATACAAGTGTTATATGTAGAATTAAAATATATAGTGGAATAAATTAATATACGTCAATGAGTAAATAAGTAATTTAATTTTTACCATCTTGATTCTTAATCTCTATGGATGGCTTGGTTAAGGTGAATGTATGTTTGCTTTGAACAGGGTATTGAAAGTTTTTGAAAGTCAGACATTTATGCATTTACTCTTATCATTTGACTATTAATTGCTTTTTTCGGAATCGTTCCGATTCCAATTTTTAATTTTGACGACATCAGTGACTTCTCATATTCATACATATACTGACTATTTCATTTAATTGTTAAACATCTGATTTTATATCATGTGAAACACAATCGAAGTGAGTTATGCATTAATTTGCCAAGCATTAATCTGCTTGGTGAGTTTTTTTTATTGAAGCGACAATTCTGCTTATATACTCTGTATTATATTACTTTGTGTTATATTACAAATTAATCATATCATTTTTATAAGATTATCGAATTCACCAACAATTGATCTTCCGATCGTTTGCGAGTAATTTCGTATATACTCAGTAAAGCACTCATCGCACAACATTTTTCTATGCTTTTATTACTTGTTTCTCAATATATAATACTTATGCTTTCTTATGATATTTGAAGATGATTGAAATTAACCACAGAAACATGTTATATTACGATTATTGCTCTCACTTAATTTAATTATAGCCGAATTTTATATCTTAATTTTTTAACAGTTATTTATACAATCTTTAAACTGACTTTTACATTCTCTTTTTATTATATTATTTATGTAACATCAAGAGTCTTTGTATTGATTAATTTATTTTCAATTTTTTAAAGTTATTGTTGAGTTTAAATCGTGAATTTAAATACATTTAAGAGATCGAAGAAATAATATAAGAAAATAGGAAACACCCAGTGCTAGATTAAGTGCTATATTAAGTTTTAGATATCTTTTGTTAAAAAATCAAAAGAAAAAGACTTAAAGGTTCCCCTTAAACTCCTCTTTACCCTAATAAAAATAATTAAAAAACATTTTAATTGTTGAGAGTAAAATTAAGATTATTTATTAGTCGTATATAATTAAACTACTTTATAGTTCCAATAATTATAAAATAATTTATTTAATTATGTATATTAATTTTATACAACACAGTTGTTACCTTTATATTTTTTTTTGCCATCGCTATATATCTTTCTCTCTGATCTGAGACGAACCTTACAAAATATTTCTTGGAACCGTGTTTGTGTGTTAAGCCCATATCAAACTGACTTTGCAGACCGATCCAATTACTAAGTTTGATTGTTGATATATAATATCATATATAATCAATCATATATAATGAATCAATTTTATTGGTCGCCATTATAAGTCGGCAGAGTTTAGAATTGATTGGTGTACATAGTTGATAGTCTGGGCTTTATATGCCTGTCTGTTGTGCGTGCGCGATAATTCGAAATGTTTCCAGGTATTTTTATCACTAATAATGCGTTATCCATTTTTTTTATCTTAAAAACAACTTAATGTAAGATAAAACCTAGAAGAGTGAAATATGTTTTTAGAAATATTTCATAAATTTTATACTTGAGGTTGCGTGCGCGCGCGCGCGCGCGTGTGTGTGTGTGTGTTACATTAAAAGCAACAAAAATACTTGAAAGAGTTTCGAGCTGTCTCATGGTGCACAATCAGAAAGTGAGTTAGACAAAATAGGTCCTAGTTCAGAAGAATACTTGAAGAAGGATCTCTTAGAGAATCTTTTCGACAATTTTTCCAAGAATACCTATTGTCTTGAGCAACATAGAAATAATCTGTAAAAGATATGAATTTTTTTTTCAATAATTAAAGACTTGATAGTAAAATTTATTATATTGTGTTTATACCATTATGTAATATTTATCTGTTTGTCAGTGTGTAACATAGTTATTGCTTTCTATGCTCTTATAAATTTATTACTAATAAACTGCTCAGATTCATGAATTGTTTAAGAATAGAGTTATTTTCCAAATGAATTTTAATTTAAATTAATTTTATTTTTTTTAAATAAATGAGTGATAAAAATGAGCTTCAGAAACAAGCAAATAATTAGACCAACAAATAAAAACTAGTCCATGAAAACATTAAAATCAAAGAAAAAAAAAGGATTACAACTATCTTTTTCAACAAATATAAGATATAAGAGCATTTCAACTGAATCTTCCTCAACCAATTAATAAATTGTAGTAGAGATTAAATTTAAAAAAATGAAAATTAAAACGAGGAAATTTAAAGAGAAAGATTATAAGGATGTATTGTTAGACCAATGAGTAAAACAATATCAATTTTTAAATTCAAAATGTTATCGTTTCTTTTAATCACTTTTATTACAATGCTCATTGCTTACTTTCTATCTTTAAAAAAGTAAAGTGTTATATATAATATTTTATACTTTTTTTTACTTTTTTATAGGTAACAATTTTACATAGCAGCGTGAATAAAATCGAAATATAAGATTCTTAATTGAAAATAAAATTATGCAACGCGATACATTGTCATTAAATTATCCATAATCGATAAAATTTGGCGTCTTTGAAAAAGGAAAAAGGATGAAAAAAATTATGTAAGAAAATGATAGGAAGAATGGAAAAAACAAGAAACGGAGAAAAGAAAATGATATGGAGAACACATGGAGCAAAGAAAGAAGATAGAAGGAACGAAGAAGATGAACATCGGCCGATGGATCGAACGTAGAAGGAGAGGGTTGAAAGAGTGAGAAGAGACGGCAAGAGGGCGGACGGACAGGGAGAGAGGGTGAGACGGGTAGGGGAACCAGAAAAAATCCGGGGATTTACGCGGAAAGGGCAAAATATTCCCCGCCCAGGCTTCATTCAGCCTCCGATTACGGGGTGGCTTTGGGTGAAAAGCACGCGTTCCCATTGGTCGAGGGGCTAATATGGCGGTGTTAGGGGTTGCAAGGTGGGGCTGATGTACGCGATATTAAGGGCTGCTTTCATGTCCGACGAGCCAGTGCGTGGTGCGCCGTCGATTGACGCATTTTGAGTCGTGAAGGTGGAGAACGACGTTCGGCATCCTCCTGTCTCTCCTCATTCCCTATCTTTCTTTCTTTCGTTCGCTCGTTTCCTTTCGTGTATGCTCTTCCGCCTGAAACGCATTCGACAGAGGCACACGCGACTCGGCGGCAGATTCAATTTGCGCGCGTGTCATCCGGGAGAATCTATGATTTGCCAGTGATTTTCGTGGGTCAAGGACTATCATTTAGTAGTGCGATTTATTTGCAAATCGCGGGAGCTTACGCCAGTGATTTTCAAAGAAGAACGCCATTTACTTCAGATATGGCCCAGACTTATAATCAGAAGAAAAATGTGTACAGCATCGACCAAATATTGGGTCATGACAAAGATGGAGGTAAAGTATCTTTCTTTTTTCTATCAAAGAAATACGCGCAAGTTATTTGTATGAGTAAATGAACCATTTACAGAATTCTGTATATTCTATGTTGATTAAAATAAATTTTTGTGAAACGTTTTTTTTATTAATAGAATAACAAATAAACATATACATGTTTCATTTCCATTAAATCAAAATATTGAAATTCTGTATATATAATATTTTGTCACTACTTATCTACATTATATGTAATTATAATGAAATTTTAATAAATAAAAAAAAATGATTGAAGTAAGATTAAATATCTACAAATGTAAATATCTACAACGTAATAGCATAATTTTAATTTTTTCATTGACAAAGTTTTATTGTAAAAGTTATATTTGTAAGCATTATTACTATATAATCAACGATGATTTTAATCAGACATTCATTATCTAACTTTGTTTTGACAAAATTTGATTATAAAAAAATCGTTTCTAAGAATTACTGCAATAATTGATTATGATTTTAATCATGAACATTTATTATCAATAAATTATTCTAGTCTTTTTCGAACCAATTGTTTATCATTTCACATTATATAAAATATTATTTACATAGAAAAATAATACCTCAAAATATATTTAATTCGAAAAACATATTTAATTCGTTACATAATATCTTTAATTAAATTATTTTGTTTATTTAACTTTTTTATTTCTCTATTGTTTCTATTGTTATACAGATTTTAATTATATATATAAGTATTTTCTTTTTAATTATTTGTTAACCGACTAATTATATATTCAGATTAAAATTTACAACACGTTTACTATGATAAAACAGTCATGTCTTCGTTTACGTAACGAACGTCTATGATCGTAATGACCGTAAGATCGATAAACTTCACTCGCTTTCGGAATACTTGACTCGTTAACAAGGAAGTCCGTTACAGATTTTATTATCTCGATACCACACATAAAAAAGAGTGGGCACGCTTTTTTTTCATTGTAACAAAATAGGTTATCTAGAGATGAGCAAACACTGATCGAATAAATAATGAATTAATATAGAGAGTACAAACTTTCATTTAAAATTAGAAGATATTATTTACATCATATAAGATGCAAACAGAATACTTATTAACTTTCGATTTGTTTATAAGATAGGGGTTATATTTAAGAGAGCTTTTAATAAAATTTTCACATACCTACGTTGCTCATTCATCTAACTTATATATCTATCTTAAAGTGACACATTCTGGTAAAATGCGATTATTATATTTGCTTTTTTTTGTCACTACATCTGGACTATATTAAACATTTTTTTATCTCGCTTTCGTCAAATTTTAAATATATGTATACTTATTTATTTCATTTTAAATACAACGAGTGTATATTAGTTCAGCCATAAAAATAGGCTTCTTAAGGCTTGATAAGAATGCACTATATAATAATTCAAATGACAATTAACTCGTTCTTTATTATTTTATTAAAGATGACCTCGTTTTAATATATGTATATGTAAGTAGACAGATTCTTTATAAGTATAGTTTAATATAGATTTATTTATTCTTTTTTCAAAAGTATTAATAGAAATTAAATATATATTTAATAAATTATTAGTACAAAAATAAATATTTGTAGTTTATATAAATAACAATAAATATATTTATTTCAGTATTATCGTTTACATTTTATAATTAATTTCTGTTAATAATATATTTTTGAAAAAAAGACTACATAAAGCCCTATTAAAATATGTATCTGTAAAGAATCTTATATATACAAATATTAAAATAAACTCATCTTTAATAGCAATTTTGAACTTTTAATGTTAATTATCTATTTTATTTTCCTCGAAAAAAAATTTATAGAGAATTCTAACATTTTTGTCGTTATTTTTCCAGAATTTTATTGTTTGTAAAAGAGAATGTACAAGTGTGTGCAAATAATAAGTGAAAGAAAAATACGGAAATTTATTTTAATCAAGAGAGAGAGAGAGAGAGAGAGAGAGAGAGATGAGAAATTTAACTTTAACTGCAGATTGAAAGAATTGTAAACTTCGGCACGATAAGGGAAGATACGAATCTCAGATATAGAATACATTGCTAACCTTAGGATTGTGCGATTAAAGGCAACGTAACGTAATTAGGTCGTCGCGGGTTATAGAATCTGTGGCGACGATCAGTGTAACGTGAATTTACTACACGCTGTTGCGACACGCGAGTAGTAAATTGCATGCGCGTGATTAGATTGCGGAGAGGCGCACGAACAGTGGATTGTTTCGATGCGTTCACTTTTGCAGAATCGTCATGGCGTGATGAATCGTGTTATCAAGTTTAAAGAACTACATTGTTATGTGTACAGGTTGAGCTACAACCGTAGCTTATGGGCAAACAAAACAAACGGCGATCGTTGTACCCCACGTTTTTATTAAATGCACGAACACGCTTTTGCCTTTTATCGCTCGAGTCGTTTTTTTTTTTATATAATAGTATTGTCTTAATAGAAGAATATTGCGATCAATAACTTACTTTATAAACTGTTGTAAATGAGGCTATTTTTGACTTTTAAGCTTTAGAGAAATAATTAGAATTATATAATTATTTTAATAACTTAATAACATCTGCAATTAACTTAAATATTTAATTTCAAAACTAGATTTTTAAAATCTAGAATATACATAGATACAAAGTTTATTTTTGTAAAGCAATATTAAAAGAAAGATACAAGGCCAAGATAAGCATTAAACATGTGTCAAATGAAAGTAAACGTGTTTTATTTTAAAACGTAATAACTTTATGATTTAATTTTATATTTTATGATTTATTTATTTTGATTTGACTAAAGAAAACTAAACTCGGTTAGACGAAACTGTCTCATTACTATTAGGTACGCTTGAAAATAAAATTTGTATTCATTTTTATATGATACTTTTATTTATGATTCTTTCTATTGCTTGCTTTTTTTGAATCTTTTTACTGCTCTTTTTTTTAACTTTCTTTTTTTTAAATTTTTAAAATAAAATAAAATTATGATTCAGGTAAACAATTGTAATAAATAATGTTCTTTTTTAACATTTTAACATTTTTTATTAACGAAAAGTCATTGAAAGACAAAATATAAAATAAAGAGATCATGCGAACGCATCCTGATTTTCAGATCGTATCTAATAATTGTAATGATTGAACGTGCGCGCACGTTCGTTATTTTCAATGTTACAATCTAAAATAGTCGGGTTGATAATATTTTTATCTTGGATTTTTGATCCTTTATGAAGGATATATTTTACTGGAGGATTTACTTAATTTTTTATTTATATGCGATCAATGATAACTGCTGTAACGCGAATTTACAGCATGACGTTAGGCACGCAAAACATATGTACATATACTGGACGTATATTGTCTCTGTGCAGTATACAAATACAAAAATGCTACACATAACGTGCACAAAATAATCATACAAACAATATTCTGGATATTATAATAAATGTATAAATTACCAGAAACGCAATTTATGTATGCTTGTAATGTTTATATATTCTCAGACGAATCGTTTTATATCTATTACATCGTTATATGTCAATGTATTATAATTCATATTATATTCTATTATAATCGATTCTAAAAATAAATCATTTTACAATTATCATATATATTTAGAGGAAAGGCCCCTATTATGAGATATCGAATTCATTTTGGGTAAATGCTAGAAGTCTCTGTCTATATAGAATTTAAAAAAATAATAGGTTATTTTGAAGGGAATTTAATAAGCTTTAAGATAACATTATATAAAATTTAATTCAAGCACCATTTTTTTTTTAAATTAAAGAAATGTAAAAAGTGAACAAATTACGAAATCAAAAAATTGTGCTCCTAATATGGGATGTCCCGAGAAATCGATCGCAAAGTATATCAGTATTGCAATTAAAAAACTTTATTTAATGTTTCTAAAATACAAATAGCTAGCGTACGCGAAAAATGAGCATGCAATAGATTATACCCAGAACTCGTCTTCAGGTAGTGGAATCAAACATTGCAGAAATAGGCATTCGACGTTCATTCCTGTTGTCTTTTTTATTATTGTACAATAACATTTATATTTTATACTTTAGCAACGCTTTTCATTGACATAGGACCATGAGTTATTTCATATTACAAATACAATACCCTGAGTATCTCATATTACAATTTCCACGCCTTATGGTTTTACGATCATCAAATCTAACTTCTGTAATTAAACAATTCAACATATCCCGTATTTTTCAGTACGACCTTACTCTATCACTACATGAAGAATTTATTTATTATTTATTTATTAAATAATAAACAAGGTTTAAAAGCTCATTTTAATGAAACTTGAAGATATCCAAAATTTAAAATCTTGTTTTACACAATGTCTATAGGCATAATCTAATAATGAATTTTCTACTAAATAGTAGTTTTCAATCTAAGAGCAATAAATTTATGGTGAAATCAATAGATAACATTTATTAGTTAGCAGAAACGCCACTATCTCTATTAGCTTATCTCATAATAGAGGGCTTTCCTCTCTCTCTCTCTCTCTC